TAGTCCTTGATGGAAGCCTTGCATTTTTCTACCAGGTGGGCTATGGTGATGTGATTGCTGGGGTGATTTGGAGACCTGAAGTTCAAGGTCATATTTTCGAAAGACCTTGAGAAACTCTAAGACCTGGAGGATTGTGCCCATGCTGTTCACCACCTTAAGTGTAGCTGTCCTTGCCAATCACATTCCATGGCACCTCTAAGACTCTGCATCTTCTAGGGAGGAGTTGGCTAACTTTTCTTCTAAAGAGCCAAACAGTAAGTATTTTAGGCTTCTATAAAGCCAAGAGGAAAAACTGAAGATATTATGCATGTCCTTAAGTAATAAGAGAGAAACATTTCTACAAATGTTTTATTGATGATATTAAAAATATAATAATAATTCTATCTAATTTTTTTCATACATAAAAAATTTCATGAGGTTTATAATGAGAAGAATGCAATTTCTTTTTTGTGGGGTAAGATTTTGATAATTGGGGTTCTGAGTTGGTATTCCTGTCATGATGATGGAAATGTGGGCTCAATCTTCTGCTAAGCCTTCCTTTGATTCAGAGACACTGTTATCTTCTCTCCTGTCAACTCTCTGGAACGTGTTATCCAAATATTTTTTGGAACTTATGTTCTACCTTTATGGTGTTGAGAACCTTTCATATGAGAAAGTAGATTAATAGAGCAAGCTCTGAGATAAGATGCTCTGAGTCTGAAATCTTCCCCAAATAATTACTAGTTGATAATCTTAGCTTATTACTTATCCTATCTGGATAAGCTTACATTTGTTTACTCCTCTATAGAATGAGTAATAGTATCAATTTCCCAGGGTTGTTGGAAAGATTACATGAGTGAATAAATGCAAAAATTTAGAACAGTTGGTTGTACCACATGTTGCAAATCACTAGATGTTAAAAGTTATTCTTTTTTTTTTTTCATTTTTTGCCTTGAGGACCACATGATAACAGGCAGGTGGCTGGGTGTGACCTTTGAGCTACAGAATGTTGCTTACCCCATTCTAGAATGTGAGGAGAAAGATGCCGCTTTGTGCTCCATAAAGAAGTCATGTTAGCCTTATTTTCCTTATGGTTAAGCATGGCTTTCCTAAAGTCTCAGCTCCAATAGGGAGGACCATGAGCTCCTGCCCTACCAGATCATCACCAGTATGAGAACCATCATGGAGAATATTGAAGGTTAGAACTCGATGGTCACTTCTGTATCGCCAGAGGACCCAACATGATAGCACAGGGGCCCCCCTTGCAATGGCCTCAGTTTTACAAGGAACAAGTGACACTTCTAAGTATGTTTTTTGCACCAAATGTAGGCTTATTATCTGTGCTACCCAAGCCAATGCTTTCCTCCCGTTCCAAACATGCAACTTCTTGCCCATCAGGTTAGACCTATCAGATTTCCTGCCATGCACAAAAGAATTTAGGACACTAGTTCGTATATTGCAACTCATATCCTGTGCTGATGCTCTTGAACCTCATCGATACTGAGGTACTGCTGGCCTTGGTGGCTCTGGAGATGAGTGTAGGTTTCAGCCTTGACAGTGGTGTCTCCATGAGAGTTGAAATCTCTGGCACTGGGAGGGTACTGCAGAGGCCAACAGGGAGTGTTAAGTCAGCAAGCTCATGCTGTCTTTCATATCCCCGAGCTCTCCTTATCGACTGCTCAGCACTTTTCTTGCTATCTTTTCTTTTTTCACTTAAATACTAGCTTCATTTGATTTGTCCATTTGCTTTGATTTTACCAAATTTTTGCTTGTTAATCAGCTTTCTTTGGTGTACAAAAAGGTGCCAGTTCACTCTTGGCTCTCTCCTTTGCTCAACTTCAGAAAACATCCCCTAGAACCTAGAGCTTTGATTATGTTCCAGTCAATTTTCCTAGTCTTTACATAAAAGTACTTACAGGCATCTGCACATCAAAATGCAAGTAAACAAGTCACTCAGATGCCAAGAATTTCCCACCATCCTTATTCCTGATCTTTCCTCTTTCTCATCATGAAACTGTGGGTCACTTATAACCAGAGGGTCCACAATATATATATATATATATATATATATATATATATTTTATCCAAATGAGAACACTTTCAGAGTAAATGGAGGTACTGACCAGGGAAGATACATTAGCTGGCGCTATTAATTCACATAAGGCTTGTCCTCCGATTTACATTCCTGTCTCTTTTAAAGGAGACAGACTTTACATTACAGACATTGAAGATTATGCTGCATTCTAAAATCCCTACCATTCAAAAACCCAGAAACTGAAGCAGCTAAAACTCCAAGGTGATCCATATGTATGCTGTCGATTGAGCTGGAGCTGGTGAAAAGCTGGAAGAGAAGTCGATTTCTAAAGATGTTTGTGGCCATGGTGACTTTTCTTAGTCCTCCTGCTCTATGGTGAGCCAGGGCCTATTGTGTGTGTCCTGGTTTCCTGGTCCTCACCTGCAACAGGTGGTCCTTACCCTCAGCTACTACTGTCCCATGCATTCAGCTTCACCACCAACCACAGAGACTGCAACCAAGCATAGTCTGGGGTCCTGCTCATCCCAGTATTGCCACAAAGGCATATTTCCATATTTCCTGCACAGTCCATGTGCTCTAAAGAGTTACAAAATGAAGACATGCATCAAAAAAGTTGAAGGTGTCCCTCTTCTGTAGAAAGAGGATTCCATTTCCTGGAAGCATGCCTTAGAGGGGACTGAGGGAAACCCTGCTGCTCCACCTGCAGCTCACCCACTCACACCCAGGCAATCTCCAGATTCAGGACCTTTGTACTAGCTGTTCCCTATCTGCGTAATGTCTGTCCCTCAAGTAACCCCATGGAATGCTTTTCTTCCTGCAAATCTCTGTGCAAATGTCACCTTTTGGCAGGCAGGGGCGGGCAGTTTTCAGAACCTCCATTTAAAATAGCCTCGATGTAGCCTGACCACTGTGGCTCTCCCCCTACCAGACTTCCAGCTTTAATCTTCTCACAACTATATTCATTTATTAAAGGCATTGTCAGACTCTGCCACTAGAATGTAAGCTTTATGATGAACTCACGGACCTGTCTTTTGGCTGCCATCCCCAGTGTTGGGCACAGTATCTCTAGGGGTCAATAAATATTTGTTAATAGGACTCAGCCTCCCGCCTTTCTCTTGTTACAATGAAGACACCAGCTGTCCTCTTATCCAATGCAAGTGACTGCTTGTGTTCTGAATTATGTCCCGTCTTGCCTTTTGAGACTCTTATTATTGGCCACATTTTCTCTCTTCCATGTCTTCAACAGCTTTCTTTAGCTATGTAATAATTCTAATATCTACCTTGGGACTAATGTAACTTGGGCTACATTAGTAGGCTCCACACATTTCACATGAGTTCATTTGTACCTTGCAGTTGTCCTGAGGGGCAGGAATGATTATCCATTTCTACATATGAAGGAACTGAGGTTCAGGGCAGGTGAAAAATTTTCCTGGGCCCACAGAGCCACTGAAAAGGTCCACCAGGACTTGCACCTGGTAGGCTGACTGAAGAACTCAGATCTTAATTATTATGCCATGCTGCTGGCTCACATTCAGAGCATTTAAATATATGTTTGTTCAATATTATCTCAATTTTATGCAAAAATAATAAATAATAATAATAAATACTATTCATAATACTAATATTATTAATTACTATTAATATTCCCCTCAGTTATTTCTCTCTCTCACCAGCACGTTTGAAACATGTCTACACTGGTCATCTGTTTCTTCACTCCATCCTCTACTTGTTCCTCTCCAATCTGGTTTGTGTCCCCGTCACTCCGTCCAAGGAGCTCTCATATGACCACTCTGCAATGGCATTTCTCAGTTGCTATCTTATTTGAACCCCATCAGTGTTCAGCAATGGTGGCCACTTCCTTCTTCCTGGATCTGGGTCTGGTGTGTACCTTCTCCCTGGATCACCACGTGGCCCTGGGCAGAGCGTCTCCACTTTAAGACTAGAGAGGCAAATCCCTGGTGAGAACACTGTGGAGGAGACCTGCCGTTGTGAAGAGACACGATGACAATCCCAAGTGAAAGGATGGGTTGAGTTTACAGGGAATCAAGATTCCTTCTGGCTCAGAAATCCATTATTTTAAATAATCTCTTCGCAACATTTTAAGGGTCCACTTACAATGACATAAAATACCTCCTTGATTCTTTTGGTTCCCCTCGTGGAAGTTCCCACAATTAAAATCTTTATACTCACATCAATAAGATTTTGTTCAGTATTACCTTCTATAGTTTTTTCTTTTAAAGTGATAGTTAAATAAAATTTCCAAGTAGAAAACATTGTCATAATTTTTTATTTATTTCCAAACTAAATTGTCTCCTTCCTGCCACCAAGGTTTACTTCCTGAGAGTGATGTCTAAATTATCCCAGGTGACAAGCCTTATTCCAGACAAGCATGTGAAGGAGAGAGGCAGATTCCAACAGACCAATTAAAATATCAATGACTACTTCATTCGCTTGAGCCCTACCATGTGTCAGGCACTGTGCCAGAGAGCTGATATATTAGTGTTCTTATTTCTTATTCTGTTTTATACACAAGACACTCAAAGCTCATAAAGGTTATGGAATTTTCCAGGGTCACCTCACAAGTAAACCCACAGAACAGGGATTCAGAGGGTGATCCAAAGGTGGCCAAACCTCGTGTGCCTGCAGAAGGCTGTCCCTGCACCTGCCTTTAACCTACGGCAGTTAAGAATTTAATAGACAGTAAAGGGCATACCAAAAAATCAAGAGAAAGCAAAGGTTACTCAACAAATAAGTTGTGAGACAGTTGGTTAGCTAATTGAGAAAATATTCAAGTTAGACTCTCTACGTACATCACACCAATAAGGTTAAAACATGGCCCAGACATTAAAAGCTATACTTTGGAACAGTTTCATATGAAAATTCACTGAATCTTCCATTGCCTAGTTATTTAGTCTCCATTAATGACAGTCACTGGGCCTCTTGCTGCATATGCAGCATTAACCTCGACTGTCATTTTCCCCTTTTTTATTGTAGAAGAAGTATACTGCCACAAAACTTTAACTGAAAGGTTGGCAGCCCTGAGAACGTCTCATTTCATTCATGTTGTCTAGTATGGATAAATCCATGCTCTTTCAAGAGATACAGAATGCCTGTCCAACATGACATGCTCTGCTCTTGAACCTGCCTGGCGGGGACTTGAAAGGCCTCTGCATTCAACCTTGCTTTCTTCCTTCCTTTTTGTTCCCTTCTTGATGGACCTGCATTCAGACACAGCATCCCTATTAACGTCAGCTGCAGTCTTTCATGAGAAAATTCCTGGAGGGTACCTGGGCTGGAGAAAACTTTGAAGTTGCTTTTCTTCTGTGTGTTTGATGTGTCTCCTTCATGACCATGGCTGGTCATAGGGAAATGGCCACATGTTCTGCTCTGGTGGCCATTATGATCACTATTCAGGAAGACTCAGTGTCAGAAAAAAGGAGGATGGGCAGGACCATCAGTTAGGAGACTGGAGTTCTGGATCCTGATAGGCTCCTGTCTTGCTGCTCTGGACCTCTCTCAGTCTTGTAAATGGAGACTTTGCTGTAGGACTAAATTGAGATGCCCTAGACAGATGCCCTTATGGTTTGGCTATGAGGTGTCCCTCCAAAACTCCTGTGTTGATGAGGAATGTTCAGAGGTGAAATGACTGGACTGTGAAAGCTGCAATCTAATCAGTTCATCCCAGTTTGAGAAACTGTCTGGGTGGTACCTGCAGGCAAATGGGGCATGGCTGGAGAAGGTGGGTCACTTGAGCATGCCTTGGAAGGATGCATCTTTCCTGAGGTCCCTTCACCCTCCTCTTGTTAGAGTCTGTAAACAAGTCTGTATGGCGCCTGGCAAAATGCCAGAGGGAGTGGTTTGTGAAGTAACGCCAGCGAGCCATTAAGTGTGGAGATTTCTTATTGGTTGACTGATGTATCGAGTTTATGCAAATTAAGATAAGCTGTGTGGAATGTATAAATACCTCTGTTGTCCTACAATAAACGGCTCCTACTCCTGCTGTATCAATCTACACAAGTTGTTCGTCACCCCCCGGTTATTTTGCTGCAGCCGGACTGTGGCATCCTCTCCCTCCTTTCTGATCAGCCATGAACAGAGAAGCACTCCTGCACCATGCCTTTCCTCCATGATATTCTTTCTCACTCGGGGCCAATGGACTCAGCCAACCATGGACTGAACCTTTGAACCATGAGCAAAATAAACTTTCCCTCCTCTAAGTTGTTCTTCTCAGATATTTTGGTCACAGAGATACAAAGTTGAATAATACAGATGTGCATGTCATTTGCAGTGTTGTTGAAGGTGACACTACTGCCCAAACAAACCAGTTGCTGCCTGTGGAGCCTGACCAATCCTCTTGGAATAGCTGTCCCTAGGGAGGTTGCTTTTCAATAGTGCAGACATTTAGGGAGACATCAGAAGTCATGGAGGAAAGAAAACGGTGAGGGTTAACCTTGGTAAAACCATGCTTCCTGATGCTCTGCTGTTTTCTCAGATGATGTTCCGAGGACCCTGCCTAGAAGGGAGTCTGCCAGAGAATAACCTTGTGCATTTTATTTTCTTCACATGAGAGGCACATCTGAAAGTCACATGGCCGAGAGATAGGCCAGGCATGCCCACAGTCCACAAGGTTGTGCAGGACAAAACCCCAATGGGACCCTCATGTAGAGACCCTTGAAGTGGGGTCTGGTCCCTTCCTGAGCAGGTCCTACCACAGGCTGGCTTCAGGTCAAGTCTTTGCTCTGTCAATGAACTGAGTGAGACCCCCAAAAGATCCTTTAGGCCATAGACTTCTTCCTCCTTCATCCTATAGTGACACTTTCTCCAGGTTTTCTTTGAACTTCTCTCTCCCCTTGTTCCCATCCTTTCCCCTGGATGTTGGGGTTGCTCCAAATGCTGCCTTATATGGTTGGGATGTTAAACCCCAACTTCCATTGTCCATCTATATGCTGGTGGCTCTCTGATTCACCCCTGCATACCTCATTCCTAACACCTGGCTATCTCCATATACCTCACACCATCTCTCTTTCCTGCTCTCACCTGGTGTTCTTGCAGAGAGTGGCACCCCAACTAGATCTTTCAGAAACAGGGCTCTGTCTATGCTCCCCTCTGCCCCTCAGCATGCTTCCCCTCTGAGGGTCCCCCACCTTCAGATTTGAGCTCATACACCTGAGGAGAGCAATTGCTGGTGTCCCCACTCCTCACCCTGGGTTGCCGCTGTGGCCTGCATCTTCTGCCCCTGAGCAGGGGCTGCTTGTCTGCCAGCCCCTCCCATGTAGGACCCTGCTTTCTGCAATGCAGAGTGAACATGACTCTCCCTCCTTTAAATTCTTCAATCTTCCCTCGTGGGTCCCCCTAGCTTTCAAAATCTAGTTCAGATTCCTCCTCAGAGCACAGAAGACCCTTTCTAAGCTGCCTGTCTGTCCTCATCATCTTCTTCTCCACCTGCTAACTCTGCAAAGCAACGAGCAGTTTCTGGAACATGAGTCAGTTTACAAGGTTGTGCCTTTGAATATCAAGTCCTCTCTTAGAAATTCCTTACTCTATTTTTCATTTAGTGAAGTAAGAGTTTATAAACAGCTAACCTCAGGTCTTATCTGACCTAAAAATGTATTTGGGGGCTTACATTGTTTTAACCTTTTAAAAATCAGAGGTCACCTTAAAATACCTTAATTTCTGACTTCTTTTGAACAGTCAGAAAATCTAGCAACACTGAACCATAGTAATTGCTGGAGTTGAGAAGTGGCTGTGTCCTCTGGTTGACAGGTATATGCTGCATTTCCTACAGCCCACCCCACTCTTATTGCCTTATACTGAAATACTTATGTAAGTGGGCTTGCCTGGATCCTGAAGGCATCCGAGTTTGAGATTACTGGACTCATTCTTATCAAGCAGCAAAACTCAGCTCATGTCGCCTTCTGCATAAACATATCTGGCTCAGGAGCCTCTCCCCTGTGAGGTTCAGGCAGGACTGAGGATGCAACAAGGATGCTAGTTTCTTGTTCCTTCTCAGTGATGAGAGGCTTACTAATAAAATCAAGCACATGCAGAAGGCAGTACACCCAGGGACACAGTCAATTTTCCTGTAATGTCAGAAAATAAAAGTGCTGGAAAAGAAAATTCAGGAGTTTTGTGCTTCCTAAGAGACCTCTCTTTAGTTGGACTTTCCAATTAACCAACTGATAGTACAGGAAAAGGAAGGCAGCCCGACTCGGGAAGGATGCTTCTTTGCAGGTGTCAGTCATCCACCTCACCTCTCCCATTCCATGTTCTGTAAAATTCTGAAGCTCTGGGAGGAACTGGGGTTGGAAAGGGCTTCTGATCTTAGGATCCTCACTGTGAGCTGCTTCCTGTTTGCCTTGGGGGGAATCTAGAGAGGGAACTCAGTGTAGAAATAAATGAACTCCATTCATGTCTATTAAGGGCATGAAAAATGACTTCACCCAACAAACGTCACTATAGCTTGCAGCAGCAGGTAGGATGGGGAGGGGACTGGCACAGAGAGAATGGGGACTCCTAAGCCTGTGGGCAGGTTGATGCTAGACTCACAAGTCTGAGTGAGGACTTAAGGAAGACTTTGCTTGGTTGTACAAAGCCAAGAAAGGAACGGTCATAGGGTTCCCACCACCTGAATCCTTACCTGGGGCAGTCGTCATGGGTTTCCTCCTCCGCCCCCCTTCACAGCATTCTTATTCCTCCTATTCCAGTGAGACAGGTTAAATATATCCAAGGATTTTTAGCAAGGAGGACTCTGGAGGCAGAATCGGAACTTGGCTGTCTGACAGACTGTCTCCAAATGGTGAACTAGGTCAAAGGTGGTGGTGGCGGGGTCATCAGAACCAGAACTGGGTCAAAACTGAGACGGTGTGAGAAGCAGACTGAGAAGTCAGAGGGCAGAGCCAGCCTATGTCACTTCACCTGACTCCATACAGATGCCAGAAGCCAAAGTTAAGCCATGTCAAGGCAAGGTGCGTGTGTAAGAACCAGGGGTTGTCCCCGCTGACTTGATTCCTGTGCCCTCCTTCTTGGGGGTTCTGGACTATGCTTTGAATATTTCCAGCAGATTCTGACAGGATGTTCAAACTGTGCAGAAGGCTGGGAGGCTGGTTCCTGTTCTAAATATCCACAGGTGAGAGGTACAAAGGTGGAATGAACAGGTAGTCCCTGTTTCCTCTGCTTTTCCTGTTGCCCTGAGTATCAGCACAGATCCCCCTGGTGGACTGGGCCTGAAGGGGGTATCAAAGTCAGAGGCCTTATTTTAGTCAGCTTTTCAGCCACCAAAAGACCTGAAAAGAACAATTTTAGAGGAGAAAAGGTTTATTTGGGGCTCATGGTTTCAGAGGTCTCAGTCCAAAGACAACCAATTCCGTTGCTCTGTGCCTTAGGTGAGGGAGAACATCATGGCAGAAGAGTGTGGTAGAGGAAAGTGCTCAGGACATGGCACCAGGAAACTCAGCTCCCAAAATACACACTCCAAAGGCATGCCCCCAATGAACTACCTCCTCCAGCCACGTCCTACCTGCCTACAGTAACCGCCTATTAGGGAATTAATGCTCTGATTATATTAAGGCTCTCATAACCCAATAATTTCACCTCTAATTTCCTTGCATTGCCAAACACATGAGCTTTTGGGGGGCACCTCACATCTAACCCATAAAAGGCCTCTTAGCTTCCAGGGTCTGGGCTGGGCTCTACATGGTGCCCTAGGCATAATGGCTCAAGGTATCATTGAAGGTTTCATATCCAGAGCAGCTTCAGAGCTTCACCCTCTTCTCAGATCTCCTTCCATCCACCAGTTCTCTGTAGAAAATTTCAGGAAAAAAGGCTGGAGTGAAGCCACACAGGTGAGGGGCTGCCATTCTTTGGAGTTTAAAATTATCCAGAAGCAAGGAGAATTCTTATCCTGCTGACTTCTCCACCTGAACATAGCAGACTACAAAAGGATGAGAGATTTAACCCTGCTTTTCCGGACAGATAATATGTTCCTGTAAAAACCCTGGCATGGGGTGGACTTTACAACAGGCACATTTGAAGCAGGTGGTGCTTTGGGAAAACGTGAGGGCAAAGACGGAAGGAAACCACCCACCACTTGGTGGGGGAGGGGAGAATGAGATCCTCTTTCCTGGCT